TTTTTTTTTTTTTTTCTATTAGGGAATTTGTTTCCATTGTTCACAGGCTGGAGGATTCTTTTACGTGTTTTCATAACACAATGAGTAAAAGATGCTTGTCTTTTGCAGCAAAATATTTGGTATTCCAGGTACTATCTGATTCTTTGAGCCAGTATTTATTGTTATTGATCTCATATTCTACAGACTCTTGTAGTAAGTAGGAGGGTAGGTCATTGCTTCATGGCACTAAAAGGTGTATATGTACAAAGCAAGGCTGTAATATCTAATGAAGAGCACTTAGTGTTTTACCTGTAATGGATGTTCAAGACACGTATTGATTGATTTACTGAATCTAGAGAATACTTCTAAAATTTCACATTATCAGCCTGTAAAATTTATTCCCATTGCTCTTTCCAGAAATGATTTACTCCTTCCATCCTTTCTGTGTTTTCCCTCTTCAATATAAGTCTTCTGGTTAGGTTTTTGGGACCTCTTTTCCTCCTTACTGGGATTTCACTGAGGTGACTAAATGTGCTTAGCATTATCAGGATAGGTGAATTAATATATCTGATACAATCTCTAGTACCAGCTTCAAATCTGCAGAGGAGAGTTTGACAGTTAATTGAAAGGTTTAAGCCTATCCTGAGATCCCGAGGCCACCAAAGAATAGTCAGTTAAGTAGTAGAAGAACTAGGAATAAATACCACATATTTTTTATTTTTTTGTTTGTATATATGTCTACAATGTAGCATAATGAATGTCTTACTAATTAAATTAAATTCTATTAAATAATTTATTAACATGATTTTAATAACGATTTCTGTATAGCATGATACAAACAAAAAAACTAAGTACATTTTATACCTTTTTTTTTTTATGGGGATTAAACCCAGGGCCACTCTACCACATATTCCACCATTGAGCTACATCCCCAGTCCTTTTACTTTTTTATTTTGAGGCAGGGCCTTGCTAAATTGCTGAGGCTGGCCTCAAACTTGAGATCTTCCTGCTTCAGCTTTCTGAGACTCTAGGGTTATTGGCATGTACTGCCCACGCCTGACTTATGCTGTTTGTTTTTAACAGGCAAAAAAGACGAACTGAGAAAGAGCTGCAAGAAAAAAGATGCGAAAAACTGAGGACAAAAACAAGTGTGAGTTTCTGGTCAGAGGATTCCTTCATTAATAATGATGACTCAGAAATTGCCATGAAACTCAGAGTATAGAACAACTACTTCCCTACTTTGCATGTTCACAGAGTTTGGTGTTTCTTGTGGCTTGTCTAGTAGTGCTGGAAGCTTCTGGTTGTGATTAGGTGTCTCTTCATCATTCAGTACACAGATCCCTGCATCTGCCTATGTGATTTTTTTTTTTTTTTTTTTTGTACTGAAGATTGAACTCAGGGACACTTAACTACTGAGGTACATCCCTGGCCCTTTTTTGTATTTTAGAGATAGGGTCTCCCCAAGTTTCTTAGGGCCTTGCTAAGTTGCTGAGGCTGGTTTTGAACTTGTGATCCTTCTGCCTCAGCCTCCTAAGCCACTGGGATTACAGGCATATGCCACTGTACCTGGCCTTTGTGACATTCTTATGCTTGAAATAATTCTTTGCTTTTTTCTCTGTTATCTTAATGCATATGATTTGTGATTTAGGGTCTTCCTATTAGAATTTTACCACTCTTTGAGGTGCCTCTAATGTTTCCCAAACATAGATTTATTTTATTTTTTAATAATTTTGTTTTGTTTATTATTATTATTGTTGTTGTCGTTGTTGTTGTTGTTATTATTATTATTATTATTATTATTAACGTGGTGCTGGGGATTGAACCCAGTTTCTTGTACATGCCAGGCAAGCACTCTGCCACTGAGCCACAACCCTGGCCAAACAAACATTTATTAGGTAACCTGTAAGTCAGATCTTTGTAAACATTCTTTCAAAATTTGGTGACTGTTTAGCTACTTGGGTAACAACAGATTAAATAAACAGAAGTTCATTCATGTGGATTTTTTAAAGATATGCTTTTTCAGTAAGTCCTTGTTTTAGTCAGCTGTTTCGCTGCTGTGTCTGTCTAAAGGATCCAACCAGCACAGTTGTAGAGAAGGAAAAATTTATTTGAGGGCTCATGGTTTCAGAAGTCTTAGTCCATAGAAGGCAGGTCCATTCCTAGGGTCTCAAGGTGAGGCTTGAGCACCATGGTGGAAGAGTATGGCAAAGGGAAGCAGCTCACATGGTGATCAGATAGCAGAGAGAGAGATTCCACTCTCCAGATACACAATATATACCCCATAGCCCCCCACCAATGAATCACTTTCCCTAGTCACACCCCACTTACCTCCAGTTAACCACCCAGTTAATCCCATCATGGATTAATTCACTGAATAGGTTAAGGCTATAACCCAATCATTTCTCCTCCAAACAAACTTGCATTGTCTCACACATAAGCTTTTGGGGGACACCAAATCTAAACCATAATAGTCCTCAGGAGCATGTCTAGAGGCACTTCATGAAAATGTTTGTTGTGTCCATGAAAGATTTTGACAGGATTGGGATTCTGTTAGAGTATTGAAATTAATCTGCAGTGGATAATTGCACATACTGTGTTAGTCAGCTATACCTCGTGGTGACAAAAATACCTGAAAAGTTTATTTTGTCTCATGATTTCAGCCTATGGTTAGCCAGCTCCATTACTCTGGGCATGAGGTTTAACCAAGCATCATATTGTAAGGGTGTGATGAGGAAAGCTGGTCAACTTATGGTATCCAGAAAGCAAAGGGAGGAGACAGAGACAAGATGTAGTCCTCAAGGGCATACCCCCAGGGACCTGTTTCCTCCAGTCACACCCCATCTGCCTGTAGTTACCACTCAGAAGTCCATTCAAATTATGAATTCATCAAATAGATTAATCCACTGATGAGATTACATCTCTCAAGATCCAATCATTTCACCTCTGAATGTTGCTATATTGCCTAACACATGAACTTTGGGAGATATTTCAGATCCAAACCATACCAGTAACTTAGTAACTTTGTGTTAAATTGGTAATTCTGTTTTTTAATGTTTTGCCTTGTGAATTTCATGAACTCATTTGTAGAGTTAACTTTTACAGAGTAAATAACTTGATAGAATAAGTAATTATGCCTAGAATGATAAAAATTGAACCTGTACTTAAGAATTTAACATTTTACAGTTATATTTTTTCCCCCAAAATAAGTGTCTTGTAGTTAATCATAAATTGGTACTTGGAAATTCATTTAGGAACAAGAACATCATGTTTCTCAGCCTTTGGATGATTTCAGCATTCCTCTTGGTATGTATGTGCATGATTAATATAATGTTTAAGTTTAGAGTTAAAATCAGCTTTTTAGAAATAGGTATAATATAAAAAAAGAGAATAAATTCTTTTCATATTGTCTTTGCAAGATGCATTGTGTTTGTTGATATCCAATAGAGCAACAGGTGACTACCTGTGCCCTGCTTAGGCTTGTTCTTGTAATCAGGTTTTTTTGAGCATAGCCATGCCCATTAGTTTATGCCTTGTCTGTTATTGCTTTTAGCTGCAGCAGGATAGCATAGATGCCGCAGAGACCATGTAGCCCACAGACCCTAAAATATTTACTATTTGGCTCTATACAGATTTCCAACCCCTGCTGTAGGGTCATGTAATCAATTAGGATCTCAAAAATGAGGTAAAAAGCATGAAAGGAATTTATGAAAGAATATGCCTAGGATTTAATTCAACATAGAAATATGAGTACTTTAAAAATAGAGAAATCAGTTCAGAAAAAGAACTCACTTATAAATAGTAAATTATTAGTTTTCTTAAACTGGTCAGTTTATTTCTTGCCCCTTGAATGCATATATTCCCTGCATCTTTTTTCTCAGCAATTCATTTGTTCACTCCTGTGCTCATAGGGCCATTCAGTCATTATTTCAGTCGTTACTTCAGCTTCTACATTTTTTTGATGTTGCTCAAATACATACACAGTCTCTCATCTTTCTTTTCTACTTTTATCTTATTCACACGTACGAATTTTAAATTGGCATCTTTCTGACAGTGATATCACCATTCCAAGGCTTCTGCCTTGCATCAGGCCTCCTTTTAGCCGCCTTGTAACTGACCTGCTCAGCTTCAGTCTTGCACTTCCTAACCCCTCTACAGTTCTTTCCCACTCATATTAAAACAATTTTTTCACTTGTGTGTATGTGTTTTTTTTTTGAACAGGGGGCCTAGCACATGCTAAGCAGGCGCAATTAACTTGTATTTACATACTAGTATTAAGGTAAATATTTTCCCCATGTCCCTAGATGTTCTTGTACAATGTTATTTTTATTTTTTGGTACCAGAGATTGAATTACTCAGGGGCACTTACCCACTGAGCCATACCCCCAGTCCTTTTATGTATTTTATTTAGAGACGGGGTCTCACTGAGTTACTTAGGGCATCCCTAAGTTATTGAGGCTGGCTTTGAACTCAAGATCCTCCTGCCTCAGCCTCCTGAGCCACTGGGATTACAGGCATGGGTGACCACACCTGGCTAAAATATTATTTTTTTCTTTTGCAATTGTTTTAGTTGTAGATGGACACAATAACCTTTATTTTATTTTTATGTGGTGCTAAGGATCGAACCCAGTGCCTCATGAGTGCTAAGCAAGCACTCTACCCCTGAGCTACAACCCCAGCCCTACAATGTTATTTTTAATGACTTCATTACACTCCAGTGGATGTGTGTTGTATCATTCCAAACAATTCTCTGAGACCAACCAAGAATGCTACAATTCAATTCATTGCTGACACTAACTACCTGGAGTTAGCACTGATCACCACAGGTGAGGGGCTCAGTCTCACAAGAGGGCTTCATTTAGAAACCAGTTGTAAACAAGGTCCCCAGGATACCTCCATTGCTGCCAAGCTGTTTACAAATTCGCAGGTTCCTTTGACAGGCCCCCTTTTGCTCCTTCCTTCAAAATTCACCAGAATAATTCACAGAATTTGGGAAAGCACCTTGAAATTATGATGCTTTTTATAAAGGCTTCAACTTAGAAAATGCCAAATGTAATGTTTAGGGCAGCAAGGAAGACAGCTCAGAGTTCCCATGGCCTCTCTAGGCAGGCCACTTTCCTAGCACATCATGGGTCTACTCACTTGGAATCCCCTTTAGTTGTTTGTTTCAGAATTTTTATTAAAGTTTCTGGACATAGGTATAACTTATCACTAACACGGCCACTGTGACTAAACTCAGTCTCTACCCTACCCTAGAGGTAGGGGTAGGATAGGTGGATAGGGGGCTGATAGTTTTAACCCTCTAACCATGAGGTTGGTTTGTGTGGTGACTGACTCTATCCTGAAGTCACTCATTAGCATAAATTCAGGTTTGATCAAAAGAGCTCCTTCTGAATAATAAAAGATACTCCTAATATATACATACAACATATATATATACACACACACATATATATACACACATATATATATTCACCTATCCATATCTACCTATAGATATACACACATATATACACCGATATCTATCTCTAGATATATATAGGACATTCTAAATATGTAAACAAAGTCTGTGCCTGGAACTAGGGACAAATACAAAACTTATGTTTTTTATTATACCACAGTGTGCCATAATCTCCCTGTGTCATCTCCCAGGAAAATCTAAATCTAAATCCAAAACGCCATAATATTCATTAGATTTTGATTTTACTTCCTGCTGAGTTTTCCTGCCTGAGTGGAAATAACCTTAAGTCACATGAGAAATCTGAATTTATTACCTCTCCCCACACAAACAGTTTTCTTCTCCTATCTCTGTTGTCTATATCATTTGTGTTGATGCCAGCCTAACCAAAAAAAAAAAAACAAAACATCATTCTGAATTCTGCCTTTCCCTTTCTTCTTCTCTTCAAGAACCAGTTCCTGCCTATTTTATCTCCTTCATAATTCTTAATTTTTTTCTCTTGCTTGTTTACATTGCTAGTGCAGCCTCATCTAAATAATTGCTTTATTTCAATTTTATCTCTGCAAATCTATTTTTTTTCTACACACTTGCTGGGGAGGTTTTTCCAGAACAGTTATATGGCCATAGCGCTTCCTTGGGTAACCTTCAACTGGATCCTCATTAGTCAGAAAAATCTCTAGGTTTCTTGGCTGAATATACAGTCTTCCGCAGTGTTAGATTGGATTAGACTGTGTCTTTTGAAATTTAGCTCACATTCCACCTCATGCCAAAAGTCTGCTTCTATAACCTCCTAACCCCTTCCTTTATCTCCCTTGACTCACTGAGCCTCTGGGCTCCCCCTGAGGTGTGTGCTGCTCAATGATTGCTTCCAATGTTTTGTTACACTTAAGAAATGCTTAAAGACGATGTTAATACTTCTGCGGGATTGCACTTCATGGCTTCTGTACAAAAGAAAGTTATAGGAAGTCAGGATGCAAGCACAAATACAGAACCAGGTAAAGTACTATTTTTCTTTTTTAAAAAATTAATGTTTTAATGTATTTAAGATAATCTGTGTTTTCTTAAGGCAGAAATTTAAAGGGAATTTAAAATTATGTGATATTAGTTACTTATCTAAAGTTCTTCTCCCCAACAAAGGGAAATTAGAGATTGAATTTATAATAAGTAAAACATAATAGAGATTTTGTTTAAAACTGACATAGACTACATCCTAAGTCAGTAGAAATAATGTTGTGAATTGGATTATCAGTGCTCTGAGTTTCCTTCACTTGAATTGCTTACCTGAGGTTGAGGGGCCTGGGAGTAGGGCTGATAAAGTTGAGGTGATAGAAAACGAGATTGGGGCTGGTGTGGGAAGGGCTCATAACTCTGTTCAAGAGCAGAGGAAAGGAATGTTTGAGGATCTGCTGTTAATTGCTTGTAAAACTTATTCATCGATATAACTGATCATTATGAATAGTATCTTGAGTAGTGCTCTGCTCATTATGTCACAGTAATTCTTATTATGACTTTCAGTGAACAGTTTCGTCTGTGTATGGAATATTTTATGTACTTTCTAAACACACTCTAATTTTGTCTTTTTATAAAGTATTTACTGACATCATTAAAAATGATATATAATTACTATAGAATATTTGGATAATATAGCAACTATGATAGATGAAAATTAACTATAATCATACAATTTAGCAATAATGTTTTGGGATGGTTTTGTCTTTTATCTTTTGTTGTTTTATGTAGTTAGATAGAATACTTAAATAGCAAGTATCCTCATTATTTGAACTCCTCTTGCCAGGTATTCCTCTTTCCTAGCTTTTCCCTGAGAGTTTTGTTATAGTTATTTCCCAAATAACTCGAAACTCTCTCAATTAGAGTGGTTTTGTTATTTGTTTGTTTGATTTTTTGTTTTTGTTTTTGTTTTTGGTATTAGGGATTGAACTCGGGGCATTTTATTATACCTTCAGTCCTTTTTTATATTTTATTTTGAGACAGGATTTTACTAAGTTGCCCAGGCTGGCCTTGAGCTTGTAATCCTCCTGTCTCAGCCTATCAAGTCCCTGGTACAACAGGTGTGCACCACCCAGCATAATTAGAGTGTGTTTTTAACATTACTTCATTGTACTATATTTGCATTACAGTAATGTTGCATGTGGTCCTTGCTGCAGTGTTGAAGGTAATTCATATCTGTGTTCTTTTTAATAAAAGAACGTTAATTAAGTGATGTTTAAAATGCCTTATGTCATCTGGGTACTGTGGTGTACACCTGTAATTCCAGCTACCCAGGAGGCTGAGGCAGGAGGATTGCAAGTTCTAAGTCAGCCTCAGCAATTTATGGAGACCCTATCTCAAAATAAAATGAATAAGGGATATACTTCAGTAGTAAAGATCCCCTGGGTTCAATCCCCATTCTAGGAGATGGGGGGAGAAAAATGAAAGAAAAAAAAAAGTGGACTGGTACAATGTTTTTTCTCATTTGAGATAAGCCTCCTGGTATCCGAGAATTAACAGTTCAGTATACTTTCAGTAGATTAAATTTGGATTACAAGGTGTATCAGGGGTATTTTATATTCTATTTATTTATTTATTGGTACTAGGGATTGAACCCAGAGGTGCTTAACCTACTAAGCCACATCCCCAGCCCTTTCCCCTCAACCCCCCCCCATGGTACTGGGGATTAAACTCACGGCTTTGTGCATGTGAAAGCACTCTACTGATGGAGTATATCCCCAACCCCATCCCCAGCCCTTTTATATTTCATTTAGGGACAGGGTCTTGCTAAGTTGCTTAAGGTTTTGCTATTGTTGAGGCTGGCCTTGAATTTGAGCTCCTCCTGCCTCAGCCTCCAGAGCTGTAGGATTACAAGTGTGTGCCACCACACTCAGCCTGTTTTGTATCTCTTTTGTTTTACTTTGATTTCTACGTATGCCAAATGTTTCCCTGTATCATCAAAACAAAACAAAAAAAAGTACTTTGTATTTATTTGCCATAAAATATTTAACCAATTTCTTATTGTTGAAGCTGCTGGCTACTTGGCAGGTTTTAGTTTTTTCTGCTTTATAAATAATGCATAAGACCCCCACATACACCTTTTGTCGTTCATATGATTTATGTAATTTTGACTTTCCCGATCAGATAGGTGATAGAAAGTCATTTTTTTTGTGTTTATTACTGATGGAGATTGGGTTGAGTATGTGAAGGTTGTTTTTTGAGACTGCTCATGGTGGTGCACACCTGTAATCCCAGAGACTCACAAGCTTGAGGCCAGCTTCAACAATTTATCAAAGCCCTCAACAACTTAGTAAGAGCCTGTCTTAAATAAAATATATTAAAGGACTAGGGATGTATGTAGGTCAGTGATAAAGTGCCTTTGGGTTCAAAAAGATGTTTTTGAGGTAAATGATGAGTTTGCCTTTGGAAACATTCTTTAAATGTTGTTATCTAAGTATGTCTTTGAGAAGACCTTGAAGGTACTCTGCCTTGCTGCTGGGTAATTTATAAAGTTGGCAGCCTGTTTGCTAAGATTCATCTGGAGACAGGCCGGGGAACTACATAATACTAAAATTCTAAAATCATTGTTTAAATTGTTAAAATTAAGTAGTTGTCAATCTTTATTACCACTTTTTATGCTCCATATTTAATTGTCAGTATTCATATATTTGTTTCCTGTGTTTGTGAAATCTTTTCTGTTTTTTCTTTTTGCTTCAAATCTTCTGATTTACAAGATAAGGAAGTTGCTTCTCAAGAAGTTGTTTCTGAATGTGATAAAAATCAGCAAATCATTTCTTCCACCTCAGGTATGTTCTTTTCTTCTTTTCTGAAAACAGCCAGACTGATTACAGTTATATCTATATGAGGCCAAAGCCGAAGTCACCAACCCCATTTAAACAACAGTTAAACCAATCAGCTGACTTAATAGAAACAGAATGACAGTTGTTTTCAGTTTCCTTTTTTCTGGTTTTTTGGTTAATTCAAAACTTTCATAGCAAGTTTCTTGTTTTCTTTATAACAGTGAGTTGTATTTTTAAGCATGAAATTTGAAAGTAATGCTGTACTAAAATTGAAATGCTGGAAAATAAGATTAGAGCCGAAGAACAAAAGGCACAGAGTTACACTGCCTGCTAATGTACATGTGACAGTCCTGTTTATTTTATTTTATTTTTTTAAAAGAGAGAATGAGAGAGAGGCAGAGAGAGAGAGAGAGAGAGAGAGAGAGAGAGAGAGAGAGAGA